ACAGTACTGGAAACTGAGCCCCTTTTCGATGATCGAATCGAAGTTTTTATAAATATGTATGTGTTCTTGTAAATAGTACTGTATGTATGTATAGTATCTGAATATATATCAATGTACATATTATGAAACATTTTAACTGAATTTTACTTTGTTATGTATGCGAAATAAATCAGTACTGTAAAACAAACCATAAATATGTTTAAATTTTTTCTAGTATTAGTTTCAGAGTTGCACTGAACTTACACCACAAAAAGCAATATTTGACATTGAATTAATAAAATTGAAGAGGAGGCAATGAAGATAACATGGAAATCTGTGCAAGATAAGAATATTACTTACCCCACCCCGGGGTGGAAAGAGAAGGAGACACACATCAAGTAGAACCATTCGGATTCAGTTAAGTCCTCAGGGGATAAGGAGGCGCAAGGGCGGCGTGCCGGGGGCTGGTTAGTTTCTCCGGCAGACAATGAGTCATACAGCTCTCTAAGCTGCTGGCTCCGCTGAAGAGAGGCCTCTTCTGCACTGACTTCCATGGGTTGCACCGTCTTCCTCGTCTTGATGGCTCCATTGTAGTACCCATCTGACCATACTAAGATCCTGATACATCATCATCATCATGAATTATAATTAAGTAATGTTGTTGAATAATGAATAGAAATGAAATGAAATTGTGGGTAAGGATAAGGGAGGGGGGGTAGGTAGAAGTACCCTTGTTGTGGACAGATTTGCCAGAAGAGACTGTAAGTCCATTGGACAGATTGGACTGACGCCTGCAACATGCTGCGGAGCCTGCTGCTGCTTGGCGGTGCAGCCATCGGCCACCAGACGTTCTCTTCCCTACCTAGCTTATTGCTCTTAATTTGCTTAATTAGAAGAGCTATCTAGATACAGACAGTTGGAGAGAAAGGGAAACTTAAACAGAATTAGCTAACTACCCTTTTTCCTAACTCTTACCCTTTCAATGAAAGAATGTCAAAATGGTAAGTTAAAAAATAAGGAAGAGGGAAAGAAATCACAAGATTGTTTTGTTTGGGGTTTTGAGAGGTAAGTGAAAAGGCAGGAGGCAGAAAGGAGGAGGAGGATATGGGAGGCTAGCTAATGATCAAACACTTTGGTGTTTGATATCCCCCAAGTGACTGATGAGTGAGTACACACAGAAAGGGGGAAGAGAAAGTTAGGGGGACTTTAAGGTGGAGGAGAGATAGATAGAATATGAAAGCAGACTTGCAGGTGAGAGAGAAAGAGAGAGAGAAGTTAAGAAGATGGAAAAGGTAGATGATGACTTTGAGGAAGATACGTTAGTTGCCCAAGAAATGCCACCTTTCTAGCTATCTTTCTTTCTGTACTAATTGGCTCTGGCTTTTGTATCAGTTGTAAGATGATGATGATGATGATGTTAAAAAATTGTAAAGAAATGAAAGGTCGTTGGCTTTGGTTGATGGGGAGGGGGTAGAAGTGAATTCTAGAGAGAGAGAGAGAGAGAGAGAGAGAGAGCATGAGATTTTGGAGTAGATGGGTGGTTTTGACTGGTCGGTCTACCAGACAGTTCATACATACTGAGTCATATGCAGTGCCTGCTTTGCTTCTGCTGATTTTGTTAGTTGTGCGCGCGTGGATTGGCTTGGCTCGGCTTCATATGATTGCAACATTGAGTGTCTCTAAATGCAGTTGTCGAGAGAGAGAGAGAGAGAGAGAGAGAGAGAGAGAGAGAGAAGGGATTAGGTGGCCAAAGACTGGGCGTTGGAATTGTATGTACACACAGAAGAGAACTAAAAAAAGTAATTCAGAATGGGGCGTGGAAGCTACCAATACTTCCACATCCACTTGTCAAATGGTCACGTGGTAAAATGTCAAGTCAAGGTCAGCACTCATTTTCCTCCCTTTTTTTTCCTTTTTATTATCTCTCTTTCCCATTTAAAAAGGACATATCACACGGTCCAATTGAAAACTCTAACTAATTAATCTGGTGAAATTGAATCCCACACAGCATTATAATTGTATGCGGTTGAGAAATT